GCATTGTATCGCGTCACGGAAAATGAAGCATGAGAATCGCTTAAAAAAAATTCAAAAATTTAGCGCGATAAAACGTTCATTTATGCCGCGATTATCGCATGAAATATTTCGCAAAATCTCAATGCGTTGAAACAATCAATTCAGACACTCCAATCGCTTCGGAAAAAACGTTATTTCAGCCACACATTTTCCAAACAACAAAATTGTAAACGCATATACACAGTAACTTAATGCTTCAAAATGAGTCTCAAACAAATGACGTATGATAGAAAGATACAAAATCGTTTATGATATGAACTAGAACCGAATACGTTCATTTATGCCGCGATTATCGCATGAAAAATTTCACATTTCAATGCGTTCAAGCACTCCAATCGCTTCAAAAAAACGCTATATTTGCTACATATTTTCCGAACAAAAAAAAATATAAACGCGTATTCAGAATACGTCTCGAATAAATAACGTATGACAGAAAGATCGAATATCGTTTATGATATGAACTAGAACCGATTTTTCGGTTCCAATCAATTTTCGTCTGAAAATACAGACTATCAGCCAATAAAATTAATTTCAAAATTACTATGCAAATTTAGTATTCAAAATATCGAAATCATTTCCTTCAAAATATTATTTAGGATGTTTCGCTAATCAACATTTTATGCACATCAACTGCTTCCAAAAAACACATTTTTTCTTGCTACATATTTTCAAAAAATAGGAATATCGTCTAACAGAAAGGCAGTAAACTGTTTGTAATAGGAAACGGAACCTGAATTTTTTTAGACGTGTTATTAAGAGAAAAGATTTTTATGATATAGAGCAAGGAATTTATGTCAAGTTCATTGTGTGAGGAAGGAATATGACAACGGTGCATATGTTTCAGAGCATTTCATGTCATGTGTTATGAAACAGAGCGTCTTAGATTGAGGAAATTTTTGATTGATAATTTCAACAGAAGAAGCGTATATAAGGCGTATCAAAATACTTTTGTTACAATACCTGATAGTTACTAAAACAATGCATAATACGTGTATACAAAGTGGCTTAGTGCTTCAAAATACGTCTCAAACAAATAACGCATGCCAGAAAGATCAAAAATCGTTTATGATAGAACCGATTTTGCAAATTAATTTGTCAACAATAGATTGAAAAGCGGACAAATTAATTTGCAGGTAGTGGTTTCACTAGTTAATTACCGAAAAATCAATTAGGATAATCATCATTTAACAAACAAAGTCCACATCGGACCAAAAAACTTTAGGTATATAAACAGCTAACCCTTGCCTTTAGATTCAGTATCAATTTGCTTCTCCAGAAGATGCTAACCTTGTTAGCGAATCGCGCGTCGAGTGCAAAAATATCAGTTTGGTGTATAAGTTTTCAACTTATACACCAAAGGTTCCAATCTCATCGTTTAAACCGATTTTCGTGAAAATCTTAGTGGTTTTGGGTACTTTCATCAATATGGCTTTCTGGAGACCTTTTGAAACAAATAATAACATTACGTGTGAGGAATCTGTGTCAATCGACAGGGATCCAGAATTTGAAAATAAGGACTTACATGTTCAAGTTCAGTTAGTAATTTTGAATATTCATGAATATTGAAAAAGGAAAACTATCACACTCCACAGAATGCTATTGTGAATAGAATATGCGAGTTAACGAAACTATCTCGTTCGACAGTTCTTCGNAGATACGGGGTGTTGAAATTGATTTTTTTTTGTTCGCTCTTTAAAAATGACTCTTGCAAAAAATAAGTTATTTGCACGAAATTCGGTACCCGGGGTTTTTTGACGTGGGAAATCATAATTCCGTATTAATTTTCATCACCTAACCTAACCTAACCTAACTTTTTTTTTATGGAGGGAGAAATACCTTCGTACACCTGAGACCGACTTCTCAGGTGAGTGGTGCAGCCACTAAAACTCTCCCCTCTTCGCCACGTTGACTAATTCGGTATCATCCAAGGGGATATTCTTCGAATTAGCCTGGCAATAAAAGGTCACTTCTTATTGTCCGTCCAAGTTTTGTTGTTGTCTCCCTTCATTTTTTTTCCTTTAAAATATCCACGATAAATTTTTGGATTTTTGACCATTTCATTTCCCCTTCTAACAATTGCGCTATTATGTTTTCGGATGTCAGCTGTGTTCCTACATCCATCTCCGTTTGCTCCCTTTTTCTCTCCCACTCAAAAACAGTATGCGCTGGCGTATCTCTCTCGCTGCAGTAAATGCAGTTTTCATTCCTGCTCTTCCCTATCCTGTACGTATAGCTCCGGAATGAACCGTGCCCAGTCAGAAATTGCGTTATATAGTAATCTAATCTTCTATGCCCACATTTCAGCCATACCCTCACATCCGGTATGAGCTCCTTAGTCCATTGCCCGACCGTATGATTTACCTCCTACCGATTCTGCCATTCAATAATGGTTGCTTCTCTCATCTGGTTTTTCAATGTCCTGTATTGCAGTTCACCCTCTCTTCTATGAGGAGCTCTATTGGAGCCACCCCCGTTATTACATACAAGGCCTCCGCTGAGACTGTCCTATATGCGCTCGCTACTTGCAGAAGCATGCGTCTCTGAATGCTGGTCATCATACTTTTGTACTTTTTTATCTGCAATTCCTTATGCCATATCGGAGCACCATAATTCAGAACGGATTGCACCACCCCGTTTAGGATCAGCCTTCTCTGGCTACCCATTTCGTTTACGTTAGGCATAATCTTGAGAAGAGCCTTAACGTACCTATCAGCTTTCTTGACAACTTGCCGAACATGTTCTCCGTATATTTTTTTATCGTCAATACATATTCCCAAGTATTTTACGTTTTTTTTTGGTATGATTGTCTCTTCTCCTATGTCGAAGACTATTCCTTCCCTTTTTCTTGGGCCTCTCACTATGATGGCTTCCGTCTTTTCCTTCGTAAGTTCTAAACCAGTATTCTCCATCCAGTCATGAATTTCTGCCATAGCTTCGTTTGTGTTTTCTACCAGGTCATCCCGTGAATCCGCTCTTACTATCAGCACCAAATCTTCGGCATAGGCAGCTGTTGTACATCCCTCTGGGAGATGCAGTCTCAGTACCCCATCATACAGGATGTTCCACAGACATGGTCTGAGTACCGAACCCTGTGGAACACCCTGAGTCATGTAAATGATTTTTCTATTGACCTTCAGTTCTCTGGCACAGAGATAGTTTTCTGTTATGTTTATAAGACAACAACTGATTCCTTTATCTCTCATATTTTTTATGATTATGCTCCATGTAGCAGTATTAAATGCATTTTTAACATCGAGCAATACTGTGGTAGCCCATTTCTGTCGCCCTTCGTCGGTGGCACTCAAGACCCATCTTACAGCGTCTACTGCGGAACCCAAATTGTCGTTGTGACAGCCCTTCACGTTCGTTAAGATCTCTCTCTATTCTAGCTTTCAGCATTTGTTCGTATAGCTTTGACATGGTATCCACTAAGCATATTGGTGTATATTTACTTTTCACCTCATTAGGTGATCCCTTTGGTAATAATATTACGTTCGCCTTTCTAGACGCTATCGGAAAGCTTTGTGTCTCTAGTAAGTTATTGTAAATATTCAAAAATACTTCTAGGATAATGGTCAATGCTTCCTTTACTACCTCCGTAATAATTCCGTCTGGGCCCGAAGCTTTTACTACCTTCATCTTTTCGGCTGCTGCTTTCAGCTCTTCTTCTGTGAATTTTTCTTCTTCTGCTACATGTGTCTGTTCTTCTCTGTTTCATCCATCAACCTTTTCGGGAAATAGTTTTCTTGTTATTTCTAGTTTCTGAGCGGTCGTTAGGTCATACTGTACTGAGACCTGTTTTATGTTTTTGGTAACAATTTTGTAACCCAGTCCGTACTGGTCCTCCTGTAGTTGATCGCATACCTCTTTCCATTTGGTGCGTTTTGATTGTTTAATAGCACTTCTTAGTGTTTTTTTACTTTCTTTGTATTCACTTTCCATATTCTCAACTTCTTCTTCTCTTCCGTTCCCTCTATCTCTAGCTCTAATCACCCTTCTTCGCTTATTATTACATTCCCGCCGTTTGGTATCAATTTCGTGGGTCCACCAGTACGGTTGTGGATTTCCCCAACTATCCATAACCATAGCAAAATTCTAGGCCATCTTGATTCTTTCCGTCAGTGCCCTATAGTTGTCTATCTCTGTTTCTTGAGAGACTATGAGTAGTGCTTCTTTAAAGATTTGTTTGTGTAATTTACTCACTCCCTTAATGTTATTTTTTCTCGCATACGGTCTTATATCAATTGTAAATAATATGTATCTATGCAGACTTAGATATTCTTCCTCTTCCACAACCTTCCATCCCTGGATTTTGTCACTCAGCTTATGGGAAGTGCATGTGATGTCTATAAATGACTTACTCCTTCCTCTCACAAAAGTAGGTGTGATTCCGTCATTTTTCACTCCCATGTCCAATGATGCCAGCCATTCCTCCATATATCTTCCTCTTTCGTCAGTTCTATCAGATCCCCATAATGTTGATTTGGCGTTAAAATCGCCCAGGACGATACTTTCTTTACCTTCTTTTCTTATTCTCATCATAATTTCATCCACTAGAGTTTTATATTCTTTCTCGCTTATATTAGGAAATATATATGTGTTATAGATTGTCCTCTTTTCGAAGTCGAAGTATATATCCTTTGTAGGCTTGATGGGACAATATTCCGATATTTTTGTTTCTACAAAACATTGCCGCATCCTCATTCTTATCTACCACGAGTCCCTGTTTCCTAGTTATTGCCTTGTTAGGTTCTTGTATAAACACCACGTCAGTTCAGTCGTTCTGCCATTGCGTATGCTGCGTCTTGTGCTGCTCTTCCTCTTCCAATATTAATTTGAAGTACCTGCATTTTCAATGCTGGTTTTTCTTTCTATTCCTTCTCGCTCCTCTCTTTTCCACTGGCCTCCTTTCTTCCTGCTTTTTTCTTTAGCATTCACCAGCCTTCTATAGTTCGGGCATCTCATCTGGCCATCTGACCCTCAGTCATACAGGTAGTGTAATGACTTCCATCTATACACTCTTTAGCTATATGCCCCTCTTGCGCACAATTGAGGCACTTTTTAGTATTGTCTGCACCTTTGCACTTTCCTCTCCTATGCCAGAATTCCACGCATCTGAAACATCGCGTGATGTTAATCCTCTCTCTCACTTTGCAAGGGGCCCATCCAATTCTAATGGTTCCATTCTTAGCTAGTTCTCTCGCAGTGCTCCTGTCCACTGATAACATTGCGTTTTGGTTTCCGACCATATTCGGCTTAATCGATATTATTTTAACGTCTTCCTCTTTGCATCCGCGAACTACCCTGAGGATCGCTTCTTTTACGTTTTGTTCATTCATGTCTGTCTCAATGTCGAAGATATGTATGATCGTATCCCTCTTCGTGTATTCTACCCTTGCGTTCATATTTCCGTTTTCTATCTCCTCTTTGAGCGTTTTTGCTTTGTCCTTTCCCCCTTTCACTTCTAATAGTATGTCTCCTTTACTTGTTTTTTTGATATTTTTAATTTCCACTCCTGTTCTTTTAATATTGGTATTGCTTCTCAATTCCTTTAATGCCTCTGCATAGTTTTTACCAATTGTCTTCACAATTATTTTTTCTGTCCCATTTTTTTGTCCGTTCTATCTTCGCTGTGTTCTTTTGTCTACTGTTATACACTATTACGTTTGTTTCCGTGCCTTGAAAGGCACTTTCCGCGCATTTTTGGAGATATTCCTCGTTTAGACTTTCCGTTGTCATTATTCCTAGTTTCCCATCGTAATTCTGTGGTAATATCTGTTGTCTAAGGCACTTGATACCTTCGTATGTCTGTTCTGTCAAGCTCATTCCTCCTGCTTCACCTGTAGTTATTGGTATGACGTATAATGCACTAGTAACTTCCCTTGTTCCTTTGCTCGTTATCGTTTTTGTCGTCTTTTTAATGTTTTCAATTTCAGTTATCTCCTCAGAGAGGAGGTCTTTAATGTCTGGGTATCTGACTGATACCTCTTCTAATATCCTCCCTTCATTTTTTATTTTTGGGTCTATAAGTAAGACAAGGTCATACTTTCCCTCTTCATTGATTTTCTTCATGTCGAAGGTTACTTTAGTTCTTTTGAATGCACTCTCTTCCCATTGGAGATCGATTATTTCTCTTAGACCCTTCCAGCCTTCCATGTCCTCAGACCCTTCAAGGTGATCCTTGATCCTATCTCTGTCTTCGTTGTTTTTCTCTTCCTGCTCTCTTCTTATGGTCTCCTCGTCTACTTGTGTGGAGATGGTTTTCTTCATAATTTGGTTTTTAACTTGTGTGCTCCTGCTCTCGCTTCTTCCATGCCTTGTGTGCTCCATCTTCCTTCTCTTATCCTGACTAAATTGTCTTTCCGCTTCATTCGCTATTTTGATTAATATCCTTGTTACCTCCTTCATCTCTTTTTTGGTGTTGGGGTGTTCCTTCACCAATCTGGCCAGTTTCCTGATCTCCCCGATGATGGTGGTTAGGCATCTGTTCTCGTCTCGTCTAGTTCGTCTCCATCTACGTCCTGCTTTTTGTTCTTAGTGGGCGGACTGCTCCGCTTTCTCTTGCCTCTTTCCGGGGATCTGAGGAGGGTATCCAGAATTCCCTGGTCCTCCCAGTCCTGGTCGTTATCCGAGCCAAGAATTTGTGCTGTCTCCCCTTCTGCGTTTTCGTCGTGCTCTCTGTTTTGCTGTCTATCCTCACCACTTTGATCAGCGACGGGGGTCACCCCTATTAACTCTTCCCACGACGTCCTCAGCGGGGATAATTTCGGATCCTTGGATGTTGATTCCTCTTGTTCACGGGTACTCTGCACCAATGTTATCGGCGATCTCAGGACCTTGCTTCTTCTCTCAAAGATAGCCTTTTCCTCTTCTAACTCCCATTCCCCTACTATCCTCTTACCTTTTCCCAACTTCTCTTCAGTTCCCTCAACCGACTTGTCATCCTGCGTTTTTTTGTAAATTTTTAGATCATCCATAATAGTTCCCACGAACAGCTAGGAAAATTTCAGGTCCACCCCTGCAGAGCCCCGCATGCAGGGGTAAGGCTCAGTCCCCCCTGGGTCGCCATTTCCAGGAGGCATCGCTAGAGACACACTTACTCACCTCCGTGCCACGCATCCCTTCGGCACGATGGTGCTACACCTTGGGATTGAGGGACGCGGTAGTCTCCCTCTCGCTCCGCCCCTGATTTCGGAGGGAGCAGGAGGGAGACTGGAAAGAAGAGGTTGCAGCCGCCTCCCCTGCATAGAAACCTAATGTAAGAAACTTAATGACCTCTTGCCCTCGGATACCCTAATAACGTCGGGTCGGAAGAGAACAAGAGTTGGCCAAGGAAGGCCGATAGGATAGAAGAGAAGTTATCTTACCCAGACAAGTTGAAGAGGGGTAAGATAGGCCAGAAAAATCTCAGGGTCCGCTGTCCCTGCACATCAGATGTGTGTCTCCAAGAGGTTTTTTATCGAGGATTCCCCCTCTAGATCCGTTGAGTTCTGTAAGAGAGAGGTTCGCCTCGAGTAGGCACTCAACGATCTTGCCGATGGAGAGGCTATTTGCTTCGCATCACATCGATCTGGAAAAGGAAAGTATTGCTACTTTCCCCGGCGCCCTCACCTTTTTTATTCGGGCGGTGAGACCGCCCAAGTCCCTAGGACCCAACCTAACCTAACCCAACCTAACTTATCCTAACCTAACCTTTTTTTTTTGGTAGGGTGGAAACCCTCATGGGCACTGATCGCTTGGTGTCCATCGCGAAACAGTAGTGTCGGACTCCTACCGATTAAAACCACCCCTTTGCCTTCTCCTGTACTTGGGACTGTCTGAAAGATATTGCTTCATTCAACAAGTATGCTATGTTGACTACGTCAACATCCATAGTGTAAATTAAATGTTATAACGCACACAGTGTATAGATAAAAGTAGAATAGTAAAAAATTGAAAGTAAAACAGTAAAATATTAAAAGTAAAACATGAGATTCATTGATTATCATTCAGCTGTAACTCCCCTGGACTTCCCGATTTCCAAGAGTTGAAAATAGAAAGCGCCACTAGAAATTTTACCATACAATCGCCTAAAATGGGATCTCTACATTATAAACTGAGATCTATCCCATTCAAATTCAGAAAACTAAAAAAAAATATACCTGTATACCTGATGAGAACGTTATACCGTGCATTAGTACAACACAAAGGACGTTTGCTCACCTTGCATCAAAATGCTATAATCACATTCCGGAAGAGATCAAATCTCGGAAAAAAACGAGAGAAATGTGATAAGTGAATTATTAGATGAATAATACTCATAGTCGGTCTGTGTTTATCTCAGTCATGCGTCCTATTTTTTGAAGTAAAACTTCTTTACCCGTGCTTGGGGAGTAAGCTGACTACACGACTGAATAGAAACTTCTTTAGCTCCATCTACAGTGTCACGCATAAAGTTCGGACATTTTGGAAAATGCCAAAGAAAAAGGTTTTCGTTTTGCTGTGGATAATTTTGGAAATGACTTTCAAAGAAGGAGATTCGACTCGAATACTTTTGGTTGAATTGATTGAAGCTTTGTCGTCACAGCGATCTGGTGAACAGGTGAATTTGACCTATTTCATAGCTGAAAATAATGAATCCAACAAATTGGTGAGGAGTCAATTAGGAGAAGGCAAATAGATGATTTGAGCGTTGGAACCCCCATAACAAAGACTGGGCAAAGACTAAAANTTAAATATATTTACTTCTCGAAAATATCTTACCTTCATTAATAAATAATTATTATCGGGGGCTTCTAATAAAAATTTATTTAGTTCCTCTCTTGAGAAGGTTTTTGCCTTATTAGGTTTATATCCTTGGTTTTGCCTTTTCAAGAAAGCAATTAATTTTGTGTATTTAATATCCATATTTTCTTTTATTTGAAGCATGGTACGTAGCATTGAATACTTGGACCACAATGTAGAGGCTTTTAGTGTATTTGCTAATATCGAAAAATATCCCAACATAAAATTTTCTGAGTAAATACGAATATGCTTTTTTTTGGCCCATCGCTTGAAATGTAAATATTGTTTTTCGGATTTTTGGAGCAATAAAGATTGTACCGTTACATTAACTTGTTCCAAAATATTCGGTGGTGTATTATTTATATCTTCAAAATCGCTTGAATCACTAATTTTTAAAATATTCTTAATATTTTACAGATATACCTATTATGTATGGTGAATCACACTTTGAAACTGTCAAACGACCATAGCATGCTATAAAATTTGTCATAAGTTCGAAAACCGGATGGATCTATGAATCTAACAAATCATCAATGAAAAAATCGTTAAATTAAAATACCTACTAATTTATACCATATTGCAAAATACAGGTTGTTCTATAAATAAACGGTAAACTTCATATTTATATAATAGAATATAGTTTAGGTTGTCAATGCCTTATAAATTATTTCATTGATTATGTACTATGACGTCACTTTTACTTTTCCTCCCTAGTGAGGAAAAGTACGACTTTGCTCCCTACAATGAGGCCAGGAAATGTATTCTTTGGATAGAGGTAGGCGGAAAAAGTTTTTATACCAGTCAACATAAAGTGTCGAGTTCGTCACAAAGTTCCGAAACTTGTAGTTTCTGGTGAGTGGGAAATGTGCTTGTTTTAGATTGTGTATGGTTTAATGACATCTAGTATGATATACTTTCTTGAAAATGTTACCTTTTCTATTCCACCATAGTATACTTTCAAAGTATGCTATTTGAATGTATGAAATTGGAGATTTTTCTTGGCTGCTACTTTGAACAATTCACATCATTCTCTCACTAATTTTACTGGTTACAAGTGGAGGAATTGAAGTCAGGGAGCGGGGAGAGATATCATCTAAATTGTCTGAACTGTCAAAATTTTGTGAAGGTCACTTATTTCCACGGAATACCCTTTCGAATGAGCCAATTGACAGATATATTCTACCTGAATGTCTCGTATGGGTTAGACGTGTTTCACTGTGCTGTCATAAAAGTATTATAAATTCGTAAATTATTATCTTACAAGCTTTGTTAGTGAGTAGTGATTGTGCACAAAGAAACATTCTATATTACATTGCTGAAATAATACTTGATTTGCACCATAAAATAAAATTTGAAAATGGGTTCTCGAGCCAACAAACGGGGCGAGAAAGATCTGCAGACGTTAGACAGAAATTTAGTTCTGAAACTTTGTTCTTCTGAAAAATTTATTAACCAGGTAACTATCACTATAACAGAGACACTCAATGAAAAATTAGAAAAAAAATCCATTTTTGAAAGAAAAAAATGAAAGTATGTTGATGAACTTAAAAAATCAAGAAACACAAATAAACACACTCATGAAAAAACAAGAGAAATATGAACAGTACCGAAAAAGTCGAAATATCATAGTTCATGGTGTTTC